TATTGATGATTTGAAACTTAAAGCATCTATTCAAATTGCTGACATTAAAAGCGAAATTGTTAAGCTTAGTGCTGAGCATCAATCTGTAATTAAAGATCAAAATCTTAAGTATACAATTCTAGAACAGAGATGGTTAAAAGCAGAAGAGGAGAGAGACTCTTTGCGTTCGGTCCTTAAAATTGTTGTTCAGGAGAAAGACAGGGTAAATGTTTCTAATTTGCAGCCTGAATACAGCTGTGTCGGTGATCCCTCTGTCCAACAAAACAATTTAAAAGCCCATAGTATGGTTAATAATTCAAGTTCTGCTATGCAAATAGACCTCACAAGCAGTGATGATTATCATAGTCAGCAAAGGGACTTAGGAGTTCATCCCACTATTCAAATTACTCAAAAGCCTTTGTATTCAGCCACCCAAACCTCTGAAAACAATATACCTCGCCTGGTCCCAGGTGGTCAACCATGGATTTCTAGAAGGTATGATCAATTAAATGTCAGCAACAGAATCAATAAGCCAACTCCAATTAGTCGTTACCCCCAAAATTCTGCTGCCTCAATTTCTAGAACCATACCTGATCAGTATCTTGTTGATCAGCCTTGTTTACATAATGGCAGTAATCAGGAGTCGATTCATCAGTTAGCGCATGGGCAAGTCAACTCCGATGCTTCCAATAAGAATATGATTAACAACACCAATGCATTAAACTGCAACCCAAGTCCCCACAGGCACAGTCCATCTATTGATGTCAATTCTACTGAATCTAGAGTAACTCACCACCCACCTAGTCCATCCAACTCACGTGATCAATCAACTATGATTAGAGATAGGCATCAACCACCTATGCCACCTCACCGTACCAAGATTTCTATATTGGGAGACTCAATGATAAAGCGTGTTCAATCTCGGCAAATTCGGCGGGCCGTGAGTACTAGTAAATCTGTCTACATCCGCTCTTTTCCGGGTTCAAAATCTTTAGATATGACAGACTTTGCAAGACCAACTATGAGGGACAACCCGGACCACATTATAATACATATTGGTACAAATGATGTACGCCAAAGTAATCCAGAAGATGTCATTAGAAATGTTGAAAACTTGTGCAATCAGATCAAAGACCAATGTCCCCGTACTACCATATCACTATCGGAACTGATTGTTCGCAATGACTTTCCTGATGCTACTACTAAGATCAGCAAAATTAATAATGAACTGCTATGCCTTAGTAGATCTAAAGGCTATTATCTAATTAATAATTCAAACATCAGTGTGCAAAATCTAGATAGATATGGCCTTCATTTAAATGGTAGTGGTGTGGACACTCTTACTAACAACTTTATAAATCATATTAATTGTTTTTAGCGACACTCAATTAGTCACTTTCTCCTACCTCAATTGCTGCAATGACAACGACATTGCTGACCTGCTCTCGTCCAATGTTAACGATTCCTCTTTTACTATTCGTGATGAAACCTTGTCCGATAAAGACCCTCTCTCAGTAATTCCACGAAAGGCCTAACATTTTTTTATCTAAATATCCAGGCCTTTACAAACAAATTTGATGCTGTGAAACTCTTAATTTTAAATTCCACAATCAGTCGACAAAAAAGCAATATAATCTTCTGTTTCGCAGAAACGCATCTCAATCCCACTTGGTCTGATTCCGAAGTATCTATTGACGGCTATCATTGTGTAAGAAGAGATCGAACCACCTCCAAAGGTGGTGGTCTCATTGTCTATATTCCTTATGCTCTCAATTTTAACATTCGTTCTGATATTCAAGTTTCGGATGAATATTACGAAATAGAATACTTGTGGATTGAATTCCTTTTCCAAAATTCCAAATCCATTTTGGTTAATTTTCTTTAATTTATCAGCCGGATACTAGTAACAAGTGGAGAGCTCAATTTGAAAACTTGCTGTAAATAGCTGACAATGAGCATAAAGAAATCCTATACTTGGTGATTTCTATTGTAATGTGCTTGATAAAAGCAAATATAGATTCCTACGCCAACTCGTCTCACAATATCAGCTCAAACAACTAATTAATAACATAACACGAGCCGTCTCGGGAACTTTAATTGATCATATTTACACCTCTAATCATGAACATGTTTTAAGGAGTGGCATAATCGAGATTGGGCTTAGCGACCACTTCCCCATATATATATATATATATATATATATATATATATATATATATATATATATATATATATATATATATATATATATATATATATATATATATATATATATATATATATATATATATATAGCTCGTGAAGTTAATCCACACATATTTAGTAACCAGAAATATCACCAAAGTATAACTTACCGTAGAACTAAGCATTTAAATGTAACTCGGTTCTGTAGTGATCTTGAACTCTGCCTTCTACCACATTAGAAATATTTGACTCTCCTGACGATCAACTTGAAATATTTTATGAACATTTTAATTCGGTATTAAATACCCATGCACCTCTCATAAAAAAACGAGTCAAATCTAAGAAACGTCCGGGATGTTTTTGTGTAGAAATCCGCATAGCTCAACACAATCGCGATTACTATCTTAAAATGGCCCGGAAGAATGCGAATGATGCTCACAATACTAATTGGTCCCAATATAAGACTTGGCGCAATAGGTCTGTACACTTGATCAGGAATGCAAAAAACTCCTATATAAAAACACTTCTTAATGACAATTCTACGAATTCTAAACAAATTTGGCGAGTTTTGAAATCAACTATAAATCTTAATAAGGCTCCTCCCCCTCTATCTTTAGTTATTGATAATGTGAGATATGACAACCTTGCAATTGTCAGTAATCTCTTTAACGAATATTTTACCAACATTCAGGACAAGTTTGACATGAGTGAGGCTGTTGACTACAGTCAGTCAGCCTTCTCGTTATCTGTTAGGCAAACTAAATTTAGTATCCCCCCTATTACTATTGAGGAGGTTTCTGATTCCCTGAAACAATTGAACCCCTCTAAAGCGACCGGAATTGATGGTCTTCCCGCCCACTTCCTAAAGTTCCCTGCAAACATGATCTCCAATACTGTTACCACCCTATGCAACTTAAGCATCAGCACAGGTATCTTTCCAGCCTTGTGGAAAAAAGCAAAATTAATCCCAATACACAAATCTGGCGAAATGAGTGAAAGAGGCAACTTTAGACCAATTTCTATCCTGGTTATTCTCTCAAAAATCCTTGAAAGACATGTGTTTAGTTCATATTTTTTATATTTAACTGAGCATAAAATTCTATCCGATTACCAACATGAGTTCAGACCTGGCCACTCGTGTGAAACGTCATTAAACATGATTTACGAATACCTTGTTAACAATATTGATAATGGAGAAATTAACGGTGTTTGGATGCTTGACTTTTATCTATCTATCTATCATATAATATTTTGCTCCAAAAAATCCACGCGTACGGGGCTACTGACCTAACCCTAAAATGGTTCGCCTCGTATCTTGAAGGACGAACTCAACAGGTACAAATTAACGAAGTCCTTTCAGAACCTTTAACAATCATTACTGGGGTCCCTCAAGGTTCCATTCTTGGCCCGTTACTATATTCTTAATATTTATCAATGATCTTCCATCTTTTCTTACTACCTCTCATCCTTCTCATTTTGCGGATGACTCGGCTCTTTTAGCCCATGGCTGTGAGCTACCTGATATCAAAGCTTCTTTGTCGACTGATTTGTGTATTACCTCTAATTGGGCAAGCTAGAAGCAACCATATGGCTTTAAATTTTAGCAAAACCAAATTCATGAAAATTTATTCAATGCGTAAGTATTCATTGCTTGATTATGATAGCATACTTTATGAGGATATTTGGATTGAAGAAATTACTTCTGGCAAACTTTTAGGTATCTTACTCGATAAAAATCTCTCCTGGGACAACCAAGTGGATAAGATATATAAATACCTTAATTCCAGGCTTTATCTGTTTAAGCGTATTTGCCCAGCCCTTCCACTGAAATGTAGAATTAAGTTTTACTATGCTTTTATCTACCCCCATTTACTTTAGGCATCACTATTTGGGGCAATGCACGCCATGAGCTTATCGACCCTTTGCTTAAACTTCAAAAAAGAGCAGCCAGATTGGCTTTGACGAGAGTATGTCAACTCCTTCTGTTGATCTGTTCCGCAAACTGGAATGGATTCCCATCTACAACTTAATTAATATGCGAAAAATTTTACTCGTTGTAAGCACCTTGCGCAGCTCATCTCCTAGTGATCTGCGCGAGTTGTTTTGTTTCTCTGGGGCATCGCACGATGTACATACTCGCTCCTCTGTTACTGATCTCAAAATACCATCTGTCAAATCTAATCTTTCCAAGACCAAGCTCTCATACAGTGGTGTTTTACTTTTCAATTCTTTACCAAATGACCTGAAAGTGTTTAACGATTACTCCCCGTCTGCGTATAAGCATAAAGTTAAGAGGTTTTTCTCTAATCTTAATCATGAGGTTGCATGACCATCTTGAACAATTTTCGTGTCTTTCTTGCAAAAACCTAGTTAAGTGCATTTGTTATTCGCACTGAATTTTCTTTTAATTTTTAATTACTTATATTGTCAAAACTAAAAAAAGCAACATTATGCATGCTTAGTAATACAGTTATTTTCATATTTGGTACTATAAGTTGTATAGTCCCATGTGCTGTGTCAAATGCAACTATATGCATGTTCTTGCTTCTTTGTATATATTGTAAATACTGTAGGTTATCTAATTTTTAGAGGGCCATTTGGTAGAATACCTTCATAGGTAAAAATGTATATTTACCCTCATCAAATAAAGTTTATTATTGTTATTATTATTACAGTTTCCAAAAGTACATTGTCTAAAGCAGTGAGACGGCGGCTTCCAGGCGGCGAATTTACGTTAAAGAAACTCGGGCGTATTGTACAGGAAAGATTCACGGTGCGAAATATGGCATATACGCAACTATTTCTTATCTTTATCAGAAAGATCCGTATAAGATAAAGTTTTTCGACGAGTGTGGCTTGAAGCTACCTTCTGCGTCAAACCGAAATTATGGGCATGCACTACGAGGTGAACGCGCTGTTGAGTTTTCAAGATATTTGGAAACTGCAAATGTCACAGTAAACTTAATGGCCTCCATGGCTGGGGTATGTTACGCAAATACCGTCGACGGTCCGGCTGATACTGTGGACTTTCTCAACTTTTTTGAGGAAGCTTACAACTCAATCGATCCCATAACAAATGAACCTTGCCTCAAAGCGGAGGATATTATAGTTATGGACAATGCGCCTACACATCATAACGCAGGTGGTCAAATTCTTAGTGAGTTCTTGCAAGAGCTTGGTATTGAGTTGGTGTATATGCCGGCTTATTCACCAGACTTCAATCCAGTTGAGAACGTATTCGACAAACTTCGAACACTAATGAAGTACCAATTTATACACGCAATCTGAAAGAGTCGCTATATTTAGCTATTGCACATATTTCGGCTGGAGACATGGCAGGATATTACAGAGCAACAGGATATTTGAACGTCTAAATTTTAATATAAAACTTTGCCCTTAGCTGTAATTTTACAGCTGTGAACTAGCGTGAACATGTTTGTTGCTTTGTTACTTCTCGCTATTCGTTTAGGTTTATTAAACAATAAAGTTGTGTTTTTTTTAAATTTGCTGTATATGTCAAATATGTTCCTGTATTTCTATAATTACCCCATTCCATGCAGACTGAACTTGTACATTGCAGCACGCAACACAAACATTATTTTTTATCGATATAAATTTGCTATACATTTTCTTCACGAAGTTCGGTTTTTTTGAGCGGTTATTATTTATCACTTATTTACTGTGACCAAGGGAAACAGTGTGTTTTGTGGACCTGAGACCGTCGATGTTTCCCGAGGCGAAGCCGAGGGAAACATCGACGGTCGAAGGTCCACAAAACACACTGCTTTCCCTCGGTCACAGTAAATAAGTGTTTTATTATATATCAATAGTCAAAGAAACAACAAATTAAAGAACAAATGAACGTAAATACATGAAATATTTTATTGTTAAAACGTTAAAATAAACCGCTGCAGTTACTTAAAGTGCAGAGTTTAAAGTGTATATGAAATGAAAATTTCGATATCGGGTTTTTTGCATTTTCTGAAAATTTGGTCTTTTGCGATCATAAAAATACAAACCTTGTTGAAAAATTCGAACCAGAAGTTTGTTAATTTTACGATTAAATTAAAGTTCGCTTTTTCGACTATCTACTGGCGAAAGACTGGTACCTAGAGTTCCGGGCCTTGTGACGTATGCAGTATGACACGCCGAAGTGTTTCACTATACGAAAACAACAAAATAACACGAACATCAGACAGTTGCCTTTATATTTCGCTATAAAAATGTCCGATAACGAAAGCTTTGAATCACAGACAGAGACAGAAGGGTCAACAGATAATGAGGACATCGCTGAACAATCGTCTGTTGTTCAGCCATATCAATTTGAGCTAGTCGCATATAGTGACAACGAGGAAGACCAAATGGACGAAGACGGAATTCTTCATGATACTCTTGAGGCGAGATTTAAGAAAAATGTAGCTGTTAATTCATGGTAAGTAAAGTTATAAAAGTAATATTATATTAACCCGTTCCTCGACTATTTATTACCCTGTTTTGTCTGATATGCGAGTTTATTTTAAGGTGCTCATGTGGACATTGTAGCGACGAATTATTGCAGGACGCTAGAGAATATAGATGCTGTAAGGAAATTTTGGAGTGCATTGACAAATTTACGTTCGAGGACAAGGACGCAGAATGCATCACACAGCACTGGGATTATGCACTAAGTTGAAAAGTTGAAAATGTTCTCGAGTGTGTATTTCATAATTTCCATACCCAGCGCAACTGGCCAAGCAGAAAGATATTGTCTGCCGCGGCTGTGTCTTGAACCCGCGACCTTCGAATTACTAATTTACTAGATCGACGCTCTACCAACTGAGCTACACGGTCAGACGGATTTATATTAAGACTGGAAATTATGAACTATATACTGAATGTCATAAACATACTCGTTTATATTAATTCAGCATCGAACCATACTAGTTCTGCAAGTGTTATGTTAGCCTATATGTTGTAATATGATAATAGTCGTCACCCATCGAACAGTAGCCTACTAGAGACGCAGCGGGGCTTTTCTCTGATATAAAGTCAGTGAAAAAGTATCATAAACCAACAAGCAGAACCCAAGATAATTAAATATCACTATTTCTTGTATATATTTGTATTCTAAACGATATCTTGTATTCTTTGTTATACAGTATGTCTATAATTTATCTTTTTATATGTATAGCTATATTAGTATACTAGCTAATGGGTAATAACAGTGACTTGACTTAGCCTTGGGTTTTGGTAGGCAAATCTTATATATATTCCGACCATACATAAGTAACTTCTTTAGTAGTATTTGCAAACATGAAATTAACGACTCACTGTTTGATTATTTAGATATCTTCGAGCAGTAGCATATCGTTTGATTATTTAGATATCTTCGAGCAGTAGCATATCGTTGGATAGTCAGATGATATTTGGCATGCTGGGATGGGAGAATTGCAGACCACTTCCAGCATGCATAGTAAATGCATAAAAACTGACTACACTGCTTTATAGGGTTACAGTAGTTATAGTACAGATGCAAACAAGATTGCGTGCGAGTGCTGGTGTGAGTTTCGTCACGTCGGTAGACGCGCTATCAGCCTGTCGCGCAAAACATGCACGCGTTTCTTGCCGAGGTTTTCTAGAGGCTCAAATTCTGGTCTATTTCGTGTACAAAAACACGCAACTTCATGTAATAGATTCTCAATGTGAACTTAACGAACGGTTGTGAGTGAAAGAATATAATGAAGTACTGAAGTAGAGCCCATCATTAGAAGTAAAGTCCTTTTTAATAACCTATCGTATTTTACCATGCTATATATATATATGCAATTCAAAATTTGTTAGTTTTGGAATGGTCCATACTCATGCTATGGTATGTCAGTAAATGTAGATATTTAGTATTAATTTCCATGTTATGCTTACACTAGTTACTACAATGTTTGCCATAATTAATATCAGCTATAGCCTAAGCCTATCTACATAATATGCGGTCTGAAACCTACAACGTAGATATAGTCTCTTGTCTCATCGAATTTGCATTTTAATTTTCGGCCGCTTATACGCTACAACTCGTCATGTTGTAATTATATTGTATACTATAGATTGAAAGTGAAGTCTACAGAAGGTGGATTCGTTTCAATTTTCTTCAAAATCTCTCAAAAACCCAATTCTACCCAGACGAAGCTATAATTTTCATAGTGTTTACATATCGAAAGGTCGCACTGTGTCATACTGCATACGTCACTGACCGCGCGATGGAATGTCAGGAATTTCGCCAGTAGATAGTCGAAAAAGCGAACTTTAATCGTAAAATTAACAAACTTCTGGTTCGAATTTTTCAACAAGGTTTGTATTTTTGTGATCGGAAAAGACCAAATTTTCAAAAAATGCAAAAAACCCGATATCGAAATTTTCATTTCATATACACTTTAAGTGCTGCTCTAAAGTTATATTCCTTGCACATATTATATTGTGTGAAGACTGTGAAGTCTGTGGACATTAATTTGTGAGCCTATTTATAACGTTTATAGCACTTATGTTTTGGCAGTTTTATATCAATTTATAAGCCCATATCCCGTATACAATGACCTATCAGTACTAGTATAAAACCATTTTATAACTACCAGCATTGAATATAGGGAAATATAAATGGTAGGGAAGCCAATTACTGTACTTTAGATTTCACTTTCGATATTAATTGGCGCTGACGCTGAGTAATAAGGACAGGATGTATAAAAAGTACAGACTCTCCTAAAAAGGTACCTAAATTGAAATTTCCGCAACTGTTTCTGAGAACTTCTGAGAATGTGGGTGTTAATGGGGCTTCTGATATCTCAACACTACATTTCAGATCATATACTGCGTAATTGATAAGACTTTAGGCTTCAGCGCAATTAGTTTAAATTTTAGCACCAGTCATATATACTGTTACCTATAGCAATACAAATCTGGCAGATTAAATCTGCAATCACTGTCAGGGCGTTAGAGAGAGGTATAGCCATACGGTACTGCAGTCATGGGTATCGCTATTGTTTAGTATACATTGTAGTTTTGAAAAATCGCACGTCCCCATGGAGGAGCTCACATCTGTGAAATAAAATGTGAAATGGATCTCGTGTTTGAAAATTGATATCAATCAATCAATTAAAAAACATTTCAGTCTTTCCGCTTCTCAGATTCATCCGTTTAATTAATCATTTGAAAACAATTATTATGCGTTTCATATTACGTTGCACAATCGCCGAGATTTATTTAAGGATTGGCAATGACGCTGATTTATAAAACAATATTTTTTAACGTTTGTTTTGTATTTTATCAATTTTATTTGAATTGATAAAACATATACAATACTGTTCGGAGCTGTGAATGCGCAATGATGGCTACATATTTCAGTAGTGGCTCCCTCCTGACATATACCGCCGAAACGATGTCGACGGGTATCATGCAACAGTATAAAAGAAGAGTGTCAGTAATTGAGTATCAAACAATTCTTTTCGACACATATTAAAGTCGTTCACTCAAGGGACAATTAAAGTCATAACTGAATTGCAAAAATCAAACAATGAAGACAATCGCAATCCTGTTGATACTTGCGACTTTGTTAGTATGGTTAGCAGTAAAAGCTGAGGAAAATGGAAGAGGTACATTTTATGTTGTAAATGTTAGGTTTTGGTCGTATCAGGAACTGCTGCAGATTTATATTATTAAAGAATTTTAGTAGTAGTACAAATTCAATCGACAATTTTCTTTTTGAAAACTATTGTTATACATTAAGCATTACTAAACCTTCTTTTTATCATAGCAAAAAGAGCTCTTGCCATTCTGGAGTTTGCTAGAATGATCAGATGCACAACAGGGAGAAGTGCGTTCCTTTATAATGGCTATGGTCGCTGGTGCGGCTTAGGAGGCAGTGGGACACCTGTGGATGCGACAGATTGGTAAGGGGGCCAAGGGGCCAAAAGGAAAACAGTTATCTGTATATACTAATAATAAATAAATTGGAACGCGTTACTTTTGCTCGATTTTCACTTCTTCGCTCAACCCGCGGGTTGTAATGTTTTTAATTAATTAATCTATCTATCTATCTATCTATCTATCTATCTATTTATCTATCTATCTATCTACGGCCATTAAAATGTAACTTACATACATACATACATACACACATACGTCCGGGACGTAGTTTTAATTGATTCTGTAAAAAAAAGTGATACTGGCTAACGGTTCTTTTTAATAATATAAGTTGAGTTCGAGTGCTATAAATCATTAACATTATATCTTTATATCATTATTATTATATGATTCCCAATTTTTCAACGATACATAACCAAAAGTGTGTATTCCATAATTAGTCCTTACTGATCAGGCCTACTTATTATAATCATGTTTATTAGAGGTAAGCCGAATACAGTGATCGAAAAATCACAAATGGAACCTTTACTCCTTTTAGGCATATTATTTATATTTAGTATAATTACATAGGTGATTATTGAAAATTCTCCACGCTGATTGGTTGCCGTTGAGGTGATTATTACGCGATAATCACCTAAGCGATTTTCAAAATGGCGGCCGAAGCCTTTTTGTCAATTAAATGACGAAGAAATGTGTATTTTCTTATTTTTTTCCAAATAATCACCACTGAAATTATACTAAAACAATTATTCACCTCAGGCTCGGTGATTATCGTGAATAAAAACCTCGACTTCGTCTCGGTTTTTATTCACCGATAATCACCTCGCCTTCGGCGAATAATTGTTAAATAATAAAAATAATAATGGGCCTAGTGTTGATCCCTGTGGCACTCAACAAGTTACCGACAAGTCTGTCAGATTCCCCCACCACTGACATATATTGTTCTTGATTGGGCAAATAACTTCTATTAAACCATGCCAGTGGAGTTCCACGAATACCATATTTTCTTAATTTAGGCAATAGTATTGTATGGTTAATAGTATCATGCAAAGGCTTTAGAAACGTCTATATGGCCGAGGGGTAAATTACTCTGAAAAAAGCGTGCGAAGATTTTTGGTATTAAAAAATCCCGGCAATTTTTCTCTGGATTCTGGGATTTTTTCCCCGAAATTTAAGGGATTTTGGGATTTTTTTCAGCTGATTTTTTCGAAATATTTCCCCTTATTTTTTTTCGCCGAACTTTTTCCGAAATTTTTTTGCGACATATAATCTGTCGAATTATTTTTAAAACGAAGTAAATCAACGAAGGGACATTTTCACGCCAATTCACGATTTAAATGTTTAAATTTGATGGGATTTCTCAATATTGCAATATTTTTGAGGATTTTATTGGGCTTTTTCTAAGTATTTTATGCAATTTTTAGAGATTCTTGGGATTTTGGGATTCTGGGATTCAGTAAGATTTTGGGATTTTTGATGTAGTGTACGAAGATTTTCAGAGTAATTTACCCCTCGTATATGGCAATCCACAGATGATTTATTTCATCAATTGCTGTGCATGTTTAGATTATCAGATTTAGAAACTTGTTCCGTGAAATAGCCTTTTCCGGTAAACCGAATTGATATTATATTCTTTATGAAGGAACAGTTCTATTGCAAAGGGTGATAATGTTGAGATAGGTGTGAAGGTATCAGGTCGCTGGTTGATTCTTTACTATAACCAGGTCTAAAGACTTTGATCTTCACCGACATTTTTATGAACTGTTCGTTTTGGCTTTTAATGCTTCTTATTAATATCATGTTTATATTACAGGTGCTGTCGTGACCACGACTATTGCTATCGAAATCTAGTGTCCAGTAAAACCTGTACTAAATTTCGACTTCGATTTACATCATATAAAAGAGATCCAAATGGTGCATGTACTTCCTGCTGTGAGTTTACAAATATTTGTGTTTTTAGGGAGCGGTCATTAAGTAAGTGTTATCGGCAGGGAGGAGGGGCGGAGTCTATTATTAAAAAATGTTTTTTATACCCCTTCACATTTTCTGGAAACGTTTTCATAATAACTTCCATAGAAACACAGATGAAGTAATACAGTATTTCGGATACATGTGTAACGGCTTGGGCATTGTATAACTGTGCAACATTAACAAGTTGTCAAACTGAATGTCATGCTATATTCCAATAGAAAAAAATTAGTAATATCTAATAATTAGTATAATCTTAGGGCCTGTTCATATGGGCAAAAGTTATCCCGGTTAGCGAGAAAACGTTTCGACAAGTTTACAAGCGAGATCTCGCCTTGGTATGAAAATAATATGAAAAGTTACACTGCGGTCAACGCTTGTTGACAGGCGAGATCTCGGTGACCGGGATAATGTTTTTCCCATATGAACACAACTTTCCCGCTTAGCGGGATAACTTTCTGTCGTGTCAGCAACTTTTCAATTCAATTGATGTTCAGTGCCACGTCACAGCCGAAAACTTTACCCGGTAAGCGGGATAAAGTTTCTCCATATGAACAGAAGAAAAGTATTTGGCTAGTCGAAAAGTTTTCTCGTTAACCGGGATGACTTTTGCCCATATGAACAGGCCCTAAGTAATACTTTTACAAATACAATGTATAAAGCTAATTTAGATAACAGGCACCTGAAGTCAGATCCTAAATTTACAGTTGCGAAAAAGGAGCTACTGCTGGGAGTGCACTACTAGGGGAATCTGGGAGCATCTGCGCCAAAAAAACTTTGAAAATCAAGAAAAAAAGGTCGTCGAGATAAGATTAGGGTTAAGGTTCAACATGCGTCGCGAATTTATTGTATTAATAAATTCGGTCGTGCTTAACAATTTACTGCGCACAGTAAACTCAAAAGGACGAGCTCATGCTGCATATGGGAACTCAAAATCTCACCATTTTCCAACCCTCGCTGTAAGTAAACAAAAAACAAGTTTGTGAAGTTTTTGTTATGCTGCTGCTTGAATATAATGTATAACTAGTGGCCATTTTGCCTAAATGCACTGTACCCTTACAATGTATATATTGTGCTGTTGTAGCATGTTATTACCAAAAGGGGAAAATTGGCTATCATGTGATGTTATATGATAGAGAGATTTGAAGTGGAATTTTTTGTTTGGTACCCCCTATTTTCATCACAAAATCATAATTTGGTTTCAAAAAAAAACATAATTTGGTTTCATACCTGACCAAAATAGCCTCCGCCCCTCTTCCCACAATACTTACTTTATGACCGCTGCTAGCTAGCATAATATAACATTATTCATTGAATTTTCTCCATATAGCGCTCAACCTCGTCCCCAGGCTTTTGGGAACGAGATTGGGTGGCGCTATAACTTTACAAGCTATAGTTAAATACTGATCAATCAAGCAGCATTAAAGTGCTGATAGTGCACCTTAAGGCTTCATGTTAGACATGCAGCATCTTTAGGCCTTCGTTTCCGTCGAATTTATAGATTAAATTTACTGGTGTTGAATTTGTATTCGAGAGAAATGTGAGGAACAGCATGTTACGAGTGTCGTTGTGGAAGTATTTGACTGCGGCTTCGTCGCATTACTGACAGAAATTGACATAGGGCCCACATAGCCACATTGAATTCGGGAGTTTATATTTGACGGGAATTGAATTAACATCTAGAACGGGACTTTGGTTTACATTGTTGTTTTTGTACTCTGATTAAATCACGCAACGGGACAGATTGTTTTAAAAACTATACATTTCTACTTGATTCAACTTTATTTTCCTTGATTTTATGTTTTGTTTGTAAATAATTTTAAATAAAACATTTCATTAAAAATAAAGATTAAACTCACTGAATCATAAAATGTTTTCTATAATTGCAGCGTCTTCGAACTCTGGTTGTGGTGCGGGACTCTGTCGTTGTGATCAGATTGCAGCCAACTGCTTCAAAACTGCATCATTCAACAGAAAATACGTAAATTACAAATCAAAGAACAGCGGGAAATAGGTTTTCTTATTATGGGAATTTTTGAGCTCCAAACTTTCCTGTTATCATTCAAACCTTTGGTCTGAGTATAATGTAATCAATGGCATTCAATATTAAGTGGTTAATGATTAGCATAAATGTTAGCACTGAACATATGATTTGAAATAAAATTCTTGTTAATTAAACATATAAAATATGTTGACTCCGTCAGTATATTATCTCCGTCTCAGAAATAGGATTCAAAGTTCCATAAGAAAATTTCTTTAAGGAAATTAAAATTTTAGGGACATTTATAAGGAATTTCTGAGGACTTTTAATATAATGCATTGAACACCGTATTTACTCGTTTAAGCGCCGCCACCAATTGCGCGCCATCCCCGATTAAGCGCCGCATATGCAAAATTATACAGAGCGCCGCCCTCGAATAAGCGCCGCACTTATTCACAACATTGCTGCGCTTAATCGAAGCACTGTCTGTCGCATTGTGATTGGTTCGCAACAAAATAAACAACAAACAACTTTGTGGGCATATTACAAAACAGTATAGTATGTTGGCTGGCCGTATTCCTAGCTTCACCAGATGCTCTGCCCAATGATATGGCCAAAGCTCCGCTGGCTGTTTTTACTGCGCGGTTAGGCGTCACAAACAATTCTTACGCCCGTATTCTAAAAGCTCACTCACACTCTATGATTGGAGGTTCAATCTGAGCTTCCCTTGAGGGTCACTGCTGTTTTGAATAGCTGGAGGGTGATTAGTCCCATAGTAAGGTACGGCACTAATCCTCCAGCTATTCAAAAACAGCATTGACCCTCAAAGGAAGCTCAGATTGATGAACATGTAATTGGTGAAAACTGTAGTGCAACCCTGCCAATGGAACACATATTATATGTTGTTGTAAATATACTGTTAAATGTTGCATGTTACTTGGCAAAGCTAAATAAATAAATTTCAGCGTTTTCATGTTGTATTTTCTTTATAATATTTCTTGTTATCGCTTACAAATAAAATATTTTATAAAGAGCGCCGCCCACGCATAAGCGCCACATCCGTAAAGAGCATCGCGGCGCTTAATGGAATAAATTATTATTATTATTATTATTAGAAAGTTATTTAACAACGGTAACCCTTCAGCCAAGGCTGCTTTTCAAGGGGCCGTTTTATTAATTATTTACAAATTAACTTTTCAAACTAGGCCTACAAACTAATCTAGGTATATACAAATAAAATGAAACTGATAACGTCAAATACATGCACTGTAGTTAAATTTTAAGAACGAATCCTTATTCTCGTTAAAAAGAGGAATTAGAGCAGATTTCAAACAACGTCATTCAATTCGTAAAAATATTTATCAAGAAAAATTTTAAAACGACCGTTTGAAAATTGCTCATTGGCGTTAGATCAGTCATCTGGTAAATTATTCCAGGCGACAGCGCCCCGGTACGAGAAACTTTTTTTCGTAAAGTTTCTACTGGGTTTGCCTAATGCGAGCTTGCATCCATTGCTTCTCATATGGTATGTACTATTCTCACAGAATTTAAACATATTTTTAATGTATTCCGGCGCAGTACGGAGGATAGCCTTGATGGTAATATTAATATACCAATACTCGGTAATATTAATATACCAATACAGTACAGTACATACTCGAACCGACTAGACCGCGTAGCTCAGTTGGCAGAGCATTGGGCTAGTATTCCAAAGGTTGTAGGTTCGATTCCCACCGTGGTCAGGCATATTTTTCAAGCTTGCCCGGTGTGGATATACACTCAGAGTAACATCACAAGCATCATATTCACCTGAGTACATTACACCAACACAGAAAAATCATGTTTTCTTAAAATGTTGGGAGTTATTTGAGTACTAAGAAGACTTCGGGAAGTCTAGTTTCATAGTTTCATATTGATAATGACATGTGGTTTGCAAGATAAGAATTTCGCTATTTACCCTACTTGTGACGTATGCCTATCGAATGCATATCCAAGATGGCGGAATGCACGCTGCTTTTGATCAAAATCAGTCGATTTTTTTGGAAACCTAGCAAGATACGGAATAATTGTAAAGGAAGTTTATATATCATTTTAAATGTTCTTTCAAATAAGACAAACTTAATTTATATTGCCATATCCCTTTATTAAGCAATGTCCAAAAACGTCTGAAAATGTACCCTAAACATTCAAAACAAAAAATTGGTGAGTTATTAAGGAAATTTTACTAAAACTAAGGAATTAAAAAATTCATAGAAAGTCGAAGTGTAAAGCCTAAAATCACTCTTAAAGTTGCATTTTTGGCAACGTTTGTTTCGTTTCGGCATGGCTTCTGTCGAATTATTGTAGTTCTACAAATAATTGTTTTTCACTCTGATGATTGTTAGCTTGTTCAATCCCGACATTATATACGTTAGATTGATTTCTTGTTCTTTTAATCTGTCATTCTCTGCTATATATGATGACGCAAAATATCATGGCAGTATATTGAATACTCTCGGAATGAGACATAATATTGCTTGTTTAACGTTGTGTTGAGAATGACAACTCGGTTGAGAATACCCCTGGGACCGCGAATTATTCATAGTTTTTGTCTCGCATGACAAATTTCTTTGTTTTGAAAGCGCGTCGTCGAGCCGGCACGTCGTAGCCTACGGTGTAGACCCCAGCACGAAACGTGTTTCTGCTGGGGTCTACACCGTAGGCTATAGCGCGTCGTAGATCGTAAACTCCCTAATGGCTCGGCAACGACTTGCATTAACCTGTACGTGGGGCAATGCATAAATTGGTTTTCCGCGTTGACGTTTTTGAAGGTACATAATATGTTTGTAGTATGTGAATGTTTTTCTCTTTGCCCTTACGCTTTCTTAATCACTTTACATTGCAGTTCGACCAAGTTCGACTACATATATTACATATATCAGCTAGAATTTGTTATTCGATATGCGCGGTAGACGTGCGCAATGCAAAACTGATGAATCACCTTAAATTTCCTTAATTAAATGAGGTTTTCAATTTATTTAGCGTGCGCAATCGGATGTAAAGATTGCGTGTGCGCACTTTGTCGCAGCGGCTTTCCTTAATTAACTTCGTCACAAACGAAAATTATAAAAACATGGGTTAGCGCGAACTTTAATTATTTTTCGCGCTTTTCTTTTGCTGCAAAAGTGGAATTGCGCCCAAGGTATGCTTTCGCAAATTCGACAAATTTCCGACGGCAATTACAACACAGTGTTTGTGAAGAACAAGGAGCAAAAGTTTAATTTGGACAAAGAGATTCACGATTTGGAATGCTGGAAACAATCTCGCAACCATGTTTATAGAAAGGAAGAGAGAGAGTTACTGGGTCATCTCGATAAGTTGAGACAACAGCAAGAGTATCTACATCATTTGGATGAAGAGCGAAGTGGCCATGTCAGGGGGAGTCAGACCTCTTCACAGAGACGACATAGTATACCTGGTTCCATTCCGTTAACTCAGAATGCCAGTATACTTTCACCCCAAGGAAGAGACAGTATCCAAGGTTTACTTGATTTAATGATTACCTTATCGTACTTAATTTCGCGATGTTTTCGTGGCAATATTTCGCGATTCCCGATAGGCGAAAATAGAAAAAGGGCGTTAAATTTCGCGAAAGCTTTCTGAACAATATTTTATTTTCTATAAAATCTGAACTACAACTTTCGAAACAAGTCAACATAAGGTATATACTGTCTGTACGGTAGTCCATAATGTTTTTTTCTAATCATTTTACTCATCTTTATTGCCGGTAAAAAGACTTATTAGGCCTACTGAATAATTTTTTATTTATGTCGATATGTGAGCTGTACATGTTGATCATATTTATCAAGAGTTTTCTGATTCAAATTTTTGACTAGGGTATTTAATTTCGCGTGTGTAAATTTCACGATTTTTTTAAAATCGCCACATTCAAGGCGCGGGAAATTAAGTACGAATAAGGTAGATTTTATCGTTATGTTACGCGAATAATTTGGCTAAGAGCGACGCGATTTTATTCCGATACAATGCCAATGTGTGAATATTTCATTTGTTTAGAAATGGACCCCCATACCACACCAGAACTTCAATACCAGTCTAGAACATCTGTGCATACTCCTAATGCAACACTGCCCCCGGTAATATCTGGCACAGACAAGAGAGCCTTACATCGTGCTGAGGCTCATACCAATATCTGCCTTATTTGTCAACTACCACGATGGTCCCACGGCCATCCCCCCGGCGAAGCAGTGTGCTGCTGTGAAGAACAGGATGGGGCGAAATTACCGACGAGAAGGTTTACGACAACTGGACGGGAACAGCAGAGTTTTGGACATATTGGGCCACCGATACAAGTGGGTCAACGGCGTCATAGCCTTATGATGGCTCGCCTGAATGAAGGCCAAAATGAACATAAACCTCATCCGCCTGAACGCGGGCATACAGGTACGTGAGCTATAGATGTAACTGGGATATTAGATTAGAGAAAGTAGTGTCATCATTCATTGTTTTTGTTTTCACACTGTAGGAAAAAGCCAACAACACGATCATGCGAACACCGGGCAAGATCACGTGCATATTCATCATCATGTTCACATGCATCATGACCATGGACACCACCTTCATCATCATGGCCATCTTCACCACGGAGATCATGTGAACAACCACGTGAACAACCACATACGAAACACGCATGGACCACATGATTCACACGCTAGCCACGGACCACACGATTTATATCACAGCCACAATTCCTCTAACCATGGGAATGCTCACCAGAGTGGACACACGCATCACAGTGGACACGCACATCACGGTGGAGACGCACGTGACCACACTAACAGTGGACACGCACATCACGGTGGACACGCACGTGGCCACACTAACAGTGGACATAGAGGAAGTGCACATGCCAGTGATCACCACCGACACCATCAAAATGGCAGCCATGACGAAACCCACACACCAAGCAACTCTCCACGAAGATACTCCAGGCAGTCCTTCAACCATTACAATCCACATATATCCAACCACGAGTCCATATATCCACACCCTACTGGACATCAGTACCACGCAAGACGCCACTCGACAGCGGGGAGCTTGGGAACTAATGCCCAGGACTCTGACACACGAACGCGGGACCATGAGTTACATTGGGATCGACACCAAGTTTGCAAACTCAAAGGAATGATAACAGACCCGCATTATAAAGAACAGCTAGAAGTTGAAAATGGAAGAACATACCCCTGGTCAGGACTGTATCCTCCGAACAAAACGAGAGTCGATGATATTGAAGCTTTAAAAAACTGTCGGTACTTACGATTTTCCAAATTGAACTTAATGAGTATGAAAGAAAATCCTGAAGAAGAAGTGGAAGTGTTTGAAAAGGAGTCCCCACCTCCCTGAACGTTGAATATGCTTGCTCCAAGGAATGTTAAGTAAGGTGCATTTTGTATGAAAATAGTGATTTTATATTTTAGTAAAATACGTATCAACGTTGCGTACTTCATAACAAGTTTGAAAACTTTGTCTTTGTCCAGGGGATAAATTGCACAGTGTATTCCGCAATAAGGAAAGCTCTTTGTTTTACAGACATTTATTAATGATTTTCCTTCCACAGAAGCGTATGTCAACAGTTGAATTTACATTTATATTAACAATCTTCGCCCGTTCCTTTTCTCATCAACAATTTGAGTAGAAATTTGTTTATATCAGTGATAAACTTTCACTTGAGACCTTGTCTTGATATGAATCGACGATAACGTGAATTGACTGCTGTGGAAAGTCACCTGTTGTCTCTAAACAATCCCAGTAAATCGCTGCCTCGGCTCACGATGATGTTCTCAAATCCTTATCTGAGAGTATTGTCAATTCAGTATGGTACTAATGCCATCTACGACATTAAGGAGTTTTTTCCTTTTGTCCAACATAGTACATTGTTTGAAGTGACTAATAACCATATGCAGACTACAGTGCAGTACCATGGATTAACAGTGAATGGATTTAACAAGTTATGATCTATCAGTGAGATGGTGCATACGAAATGATTACTATCACATACAGTACAACAAAACCTTGCTCTTTTGAAATGCTAACAATCCAATTTGTCGGAACTCTTTACTATGTGTGCGCAGATAGTTTCTTTTAAGACACTATCTATCTTTTTTTTTGTGTCTTTTAAAAAAGTATTATGATTACAATTCACATACCTTTAAAGGGTATGAGCAACAAAAAATTTTATTGCTTCATCTGAAAGATCAAGCATGAAAAAATAAGCCGATTTATCTCATCTAGTTCCGAAGTTAACGCAAAAATGTGCAAAATATAAGTTGCTGATTCAGCACAACGTGTGACCTCATTAGTTGGGTAAGTATGTTTAATGAATAATAAACTGAAGCATAGCTCAGTTATTATGGGTTCAAATCAAATGAAATTTTACATACTGATTGTACATGATGAGACGCATTGAAAAACACTTCTAATATTGTTGCCAAGGTAACGATGTCGTTCCCAGGCCCCTTGCGCCAATTTTATAAAACAGCTTTATTCATGGTACTTATAAAAATAAAATAATATCAGAAGTATGTGTACCATACCTATGCATGCCAAAATTTTACTTGCATGATAGTAATTCGAAAATGAAATACACATAGATAAATGCAACTAGTTATTCAAAATCAGTGTAATGGGCCTGGGAACGACTGTGTTGCCTTGACAGCAAAATAATTAGAAGTATTTTCCCATGTGTCTCATCATGTACTGTCTGTATGCAAAGTTTCATTTGATTTGAGCCAATAATAACTGAGCTATGCTTCAGTTTACTATTTATTAAACATACTTACGCAACTAATGACATCACACGTTTTGCTGAATCACCAATTTATATTTTGCGCATTTTTGCGTATATAGAATAGAGCATTAAACGGCCAATCGGCTTATTTTTTCATGCTCTTTCAGATGAAGCAATAACATTTTTTGTGTGTCAATCCATTGGAATCCCTCCACAGCACATACACAGACCATAGTACTTTTACTTTTTACTTCAAATAGTTTTTGAGGATACTTTGTACTTTTTACTTAATTAAGTACGTTTTGCCTCCAGTACTTTTTACTCTTACTCAAGTCGTTTTATTGTTAATTACTTCTACTTTTACTCGAGGTCAAATTCAAAGTAATTTAGGCACCACTGCATTTCCTTTACGAAACTTGTTGCTATTCACTTGGATGAAAACCAGATAAGATAATTAGTATAACTCAGATTGAAGTATGAAACGGTGATTATCGGGGAATATCCATTTGTAATCAGTGGTAAATCAAGCGTATATATCTGTCAATACTCTTATAACATATGCATTCTAAAGGTTTTTTCAAAACCACTCTAACGTTCAGCCTGAAGTAGTTCTTGTGTCAACCTCGTTCCCAGGCTCTGGCTGGAGCTGGTCACGTGGTTGGCAGGTGGTTTTTACGGTGTACTTCTTTTGAGATTCATAACAATAGTTTTCTGGTTTTTCAGGCAGTGCCGGTAGTGTTATCCGACATTAGTGCACCTGAACCCTGGGTTTCCAATTCAATAAAACATTTACTCTACATTTGAGTGCATTAATCCTCTTCTGTTGTTTTTTGTCTGTTATACCATGGTAGTATATTGTCCAATTTGTCCTTGCTGTATTCTATCCCTAACATCGGTCAGCTCTCGCTCAGTCGCTCATGACATTCCTTATTCCTAAACAATGTTTATAAATGCAGATTAAGCAAATGAAGTGGATCCCCTCGCATCCCCCCCCCCCCCACACAATGGTCCCTCCCTTTACAATATTATAGAGGTTCAGATTTGATTTCCACCAGCGCAGCCGCTACATCTCAATTTCTCTTTGTGCATCTGATTGGTTAATCAATATGAATCAAGTAGATTAAACAGATCTGATCCTGATATGTAAACATCTATTAAAAATAGAGTTTCGGAAAGTCATTTAATTATATATTTATATATCAGCTTTATTGGATACAACATAGTAGAAATATTTACAAGGGGATAGCGCAAACGGGACAACGAGACACATGCTAGGCGCAACCCCTAAACTAATATAAAACTAGTAATAGCACCCCCACTAGGATACACCTAGGATTTTCCCACTAGGATACGCCATTTTTCCGATCTACTACACGACTGGGGGGTTTACGGTCTACCAGCCCACACCCCCCTTTAACGCTGCCTCTGGTTGTACTCTAAGATTATGACAGGATAAAGTTTCTAATGCAAGTCCGAAAAACGGAAATAGAATGTCCGAAAAAAAATGCGGTCCCCGGCTTGCACACCTATGGGGAGTGGTCATTATGTATGGGGAGTGGTCATTATGTATGGGGAGTGGTCATTATGTATGGGGAGTGGTCATTATGTATGGGGAGTGGTCATTATGCATGGGGAGTGGTCATTATGTATGGGGGTCATTATGTATGGGGAGTGGTCATTATGTATGGGGAGTGGTCATTATGTATGGGGAGTGGTCATTATGTATGGGGAGTGGTCATTATGTATGGGGAGCGGTCATTATGTATGGGGAGTGGTCATTATGCATGGGGAGTGGTCATTATGTATGGGGAGCTGCATCCTGCGTTTTGTACCTGCCGCTACAGTACAGAGGCCAGTTGTCAAGCTCTAACCACAAGTTCATGTTTGTATACTAAGGTACTGCCTGATATAGTAAGGTTGGGAAAAATTAGAAAACAATTACGTTACAAAATTACTCAAAAAGTAATTAGTAACATGTTACTTTAGTAACGAGTTACTGGCCCTTGGATATTGGTTAATTCTTGTATTGGACTAGCACTGACAAAAGCAAATGGCTGCAGTGAGACATCTACCTGAAACTATAAGCAGAACGTCAACATTTCAAGCACATTCTGAGTGAAGGTCCTTCATCAAAGTTCTGCTTATATTTTTGAGGTAGATATACAGTGTCAGTGTTCTCCACAGTTGTGAATGGAACGGGTAAACCGGTTATTCAACAGGTATAAGCGTCACGTTGCGCCTACAAACCTCTTGGGAGTCTGGGGTATACCCACGAAATCTGGAGTCTCTGAATTTGAAATGACATTTCCTGCATTTTGACTTTTGAGGGAAGATTAAAACTTTTATAGACTATACTAATATAGAACCATATTCAAAACATATGCCTTAAATAAACATTTTTAGTTTAATATTTCAGTTGGCAGGTGAAATAAATTTTAGCCCGCCATATTTATTCATTGAACTGCCAAAATGGCGATGTCTCCTATGAGTCCTATTGTAAAAATCAATGTTTTCATGATTTGCATTTTATTATTTGTCTATTTTCTACAGTAAACTTGGATTTACATTTCAAACATAAACATAGTTAGTCAACTAAATGATCTAGTATACATGAGTTGTGGTAAGCAAATGAAATGAAATATATCTATAGAATTTCACCTGCCATTTTTTCTGACTTGGCAATTCAATTTGTTTTTGCCTGCCATTTCTAAGGTATGGCCTGCTTTTGGCCATTAATAGTAGCCTGCTATTTCGAGCCCTGTATTCAGGCCCACGCTGGATTGACAATATAATCATCCCATCAAAAAAATGTTCTAGGACATTTGTGTATTGAATCTGTATCAATGCTAAATAATTAATAGTGTGGAATTTCAGCAATAGTAATCACAAATTATTTCTTAAAAAATGTACACAAACTCTTACTAAGGCTTCTCGAGACGGTAATCAGTGGATGTGAAAATGGTAAATTTAACTGGTTACCGCCTGATAAGGAGAACTCTAGATATCTCTCTCACACCGCAGCTGTTAAAAAATGCTGTCATATACAAATGATATAAAGTAAGTATTATGTGCCAATCAATTTATACTGTTAACATGACACCCCCGGACACACCCCTGGGCATTTGAACTTTTTGAAATTTTGTGGTCAAATTAATAAATGAGACACTGTATTAAAAACTTACACCTCATGCTTTATAAAGTTTCCTAAAAGTATTTAAAGTATACTCCATTTTGAAACACTTTTAATTGTCTCAGACCTTGCACCCCATGTCTTGTGACTCAGCGTCAAATACCCTACCCTAACAGCAGTTCAAAAGGTCAAATTTCCCACTCTGGGGATAGAGCAAGGTGTCAAAAGCCCAGGGGGTGTTAACAATATAAATTGATTGGCACCTTACTATATACAGTATATGTTATCTGCAATGTTTCAAAGCTTGTTCACAATGGCAACATGTCATATGGTAATACCAGACGGGTATCTCTGCCTCGCTCCAACCTGCACACCTTAAGCATGGTCTGTACTTCTGTCCATCATTCAGAAGGTGAAGTCCAATCCTGGTACATGTTTTACACCTGTGATGTGGTACCTCGTCTCCACCCCTTGCCTGACCTTTTGCGTCTGGTCGAAGATATACAGGACACCAAAGTACATCACTCAGGTTCCCTTGTTCATCTTTAATCACTGCAATCACATGATGTTCTTCTATTTGCAACATCTGCTGTATAATTTCCGCTTTTGATGTATCTGTTTTAGGTTGGTCGTTTGTGACTCCATTTTTCTCTTTCAAAATATTTCTCGACATAAAATTGGTATTTTTGTTTCCGGATGATTGCTTTTGATTCTCACTGGTACCAACATTTTCTTTCTCGCAGGAATTATCGATAGTACTGGCCATCCTTGCAACGCGCGAAGTTTGAACGATGGCGCCAAAATTTCCACGAGCTACTGCCGTCTTTAAAACGTTACAACTTGTTGTCATTTTGCCTCCGAGCATTCTCCTATCTTCTATCTACTGGTCGTTGGCTGTTTAAGCAAGATTTGTGAACAATTTAAGCAAGATGTGAGAACAATTTTGATTTTCCCCCAAATGTGTTATTTTTAAAATTTTATAATTTATTAGTAGGGTTGCGCATGCGCAGAGCCAAAGGTTGTGAAACTTCGCCTTTATTTACGTGAATAAATTAACTAACTTCCGAGCCAAGATGGCGATTTCGAACCAAGCCATTAGACAAGGCGCTCGATATTTCGGAGCTGTTTACGGAGAATTGTCTAAAGGACAAGGGCTACAGAGACTAATTTTAAAAAAAGTATGTGTTGAACAATTTATATTTCAATGAATTTATATTTATTTCCGAAAACCCAGCGTTTGATAAACGTTTTTCAACAGGCGAGGAGTGGTGACTACGTTGTCATTATGTCATATTAGAATTGGCTCAATTTATAATATTTGATCATCAATATTTTGCTGTGACCTGGCACTGTAACCTTTGTTCACGAAGATATGTTTTGTTTTTAGAGTTCTATATTGCCTATAAAGTTAAAGAAATCATGCTTGAGTACAGAGGTATATAGTTAGATTCTTAGATGGTGATAGTTTATAGATTCTCAAATAGGTTTGAACGTACTGGGCCAGTGTAGGTAACTGCTAATAATAATAAGGCTTTGGATTGATAGGGAATAACACAAGAACTTCAACGTTTCGAGCAAAAGGCCTTCGTTTACAGTCAAACCAGATGTTCTCTTGCAAGCAACATTGCAATATTGTCCCACAATATTGCAATTTTGATGGCAGATTGCTCTGAGCAATTGCAAGCGAACAAATTGCAAGTTGAAATTCACAAAAGATATGTAAACAATGCGTCTGATTGGACTATAAGAAAGAGGGAAGCACCAATCCAGTTGCTCAGACTATTTGATTGGATTCCCTCTTTCTTATAATCCAATCAGAGGCTTTGTTTACAAATCTTTTGTGAATTTGCAATTTGTTCGCATCGGGTTGCAATTTGCTCAGAGCAATCTGCCTATCAAAATTGCAATATTGTGGGACAATACTGCAATGTTGCTTGCAAGAGAACATCCGGTTTGACTGTAAAACATCGAAGTTCTTGTATTTTTCAGGGGCATCAGATTGTCAGCAAAATGTTGAATCCCTGTCTGCAAATTGTTCTAGGAGTCAGCAAAACATGAATTTGGATAAGAAGAAAAAATTAAAATATTTGAGTGACACTAATAAATTAGCTAAAATGTAGGGAAATTTACGAAAACATTCTGGAAAAATGGAACAAACAATGATGTCCGGAAAAATTTTTTTCATGTTGAGCAGCCGCTTGCCAACAATTTTGGGAAAAGAAATATTAATTACTTGCTGGGGCACTGTGCCTAGGTGAGTATAGGTTTCGGCAGGCATTTTTGGTGGATGTCAGATGTCGGATTTCCGACATTGTCGTCTTTGTCGATAACCACAAATAACCCTACGTTTTGAGGGAAATTCAAGAATTTTACTAAAAAAGCCAAAGCTGCTGTTTATTTTAACCGGCAAGAATATGTTTACGTTCTTTTAAAACTGCTTTTTTTATGGCATTATGGATTCAATAGCAATGTATCAATGCCAAATAAATTCTGTTAAGCAGTCAAAATGACATCTTATAGCCTGACAAAAACAGAAATACAAAGACAGCGATGCACAGAAAAATTGTATGATATTTTGATGTGATATAAACTCAAGCGATCTGGGCCAGCATAGGTAGCGACAATAACTCCAGAACTCTGTGGATTGAGATTAATTCAACTACCTGAAAACAGTGGCGTAGACAAGGGGGGCTGACCCCCCCCCCCCCCCCC